AGGGGTTCTGGTGTAAGGGGGGGGGGGGGCTCTTTTGACTATATAGTGAAAATGCATTAATTCTTTGAAAATCTTCTTCTCTACTCCTGGATATTAAATGAACTAACTAAGAACATAGATATGATGAGCATGGCTGCCTTTTCAGAAATTGTGAATTTCATGGCCCCTGGGTCAGGGCTTCAGGTGTTGGGGGGGGGGGAGGGCTCTATTGATTATTTGCATTAATTCTTTGAAAATCTTCTTCTCTACTCCTGGGTATTAAATAAACTAACTAAGAACATAGATATGATGAGCATGGCTGCCTTTTCAGAAATTGTGAATTTCATGGCCCCTGGGTGAGGAGTTCAGGTGTTGGGGGTGGGGGCTCTCTTGATTATTTGCATTAATTCTTTGAAAATCTTCTTCTCTACTCCTGGGTATTAAATAAACTAACTTAGTGCATAGTTATGATGAGCATGGTTGCCTCTTCCAAAATTGTGAGTTTCATGGCTCCTGGGTCAGGGGTTCTGGTGTCAGGGTGGGGCTCAATTGATATATAGTGAAAATGCATTATTTCTTGGAAAATCTCCTCTCTCCTGGATATTAAATTAACTAAGTACATAGTTATGATGAGCATGGCTGCCTTCTCAGAAATTGTGAATTTTGTGGCCCCTGGATGAAGGGTTCTGGTGTGTTAGGTCGGGGCTCTATTGATATATAAGGAAAATGCATAAATTCTTTCGAAATCTCCTTCTCTGCTCCTTGGTATTGTTCAAACAAAGGAAGTGCATGGTTATGATAAGGAAGAATGCCTCTTCCAAAATCGTGCAATTCATGGCCCCTGGGCACAGGGGCTCTTCTGAGGGGGGGGGGGGGGGCTCTATTGATTTTATAGTGAAAATGCATAATTTCTTTCAAAATATTTTTTCTACTACTGGTAATAAAGCAAAGAAACAAGTGTATAGTTATGATGAGCAAAGTGCTTCTTCCAGAATTATTAGTTCATGGCCCCTGGGTAAGATTTTCTGGTGTAAAGGGGGAGGGGGGCTTTATTTATTTAATAACATAGTGAACATGCATTTCTTTGAAAATCTTGTATTCTTCTGGGCAGATTCGAGGCAAACAGAGTAAAAGTTTTAATATGCAAGGGTATTTTTACCAGAATTTTGAACACCTGGATTATTTAGTCAAGTATTCTGGTCCTGGCCAGGGCTCTATGAACTTGTATTCTGCTGAGCAAAGTTATTCCCCTTTGCCATTCACCTTTGATAATTAATCACTGTAAATAATGTATTTGAAAGGTTAATAGAATAAGAGAATTATGCAAGAATATTTATTGTATAATACAAAAAGTACTTTCATAGTTTTAATGATCAGGTAGACTTGGAAATAATAGATGAATAAAAGTGAGGCAAAAATAACTTATTTTTTTAATGTTCTTCAAAGGCCAAGAGAGACCAATGTGAGAAGTCATAATATGGGGTTAAAAATAGACATTTTGTTAATAGTCTGCATGGTAATAGTGATAAATGGGGGACAGATAGATTCTATACCAATTATTTTGTTGATGCTTATCATACTATTTTTCTTGCTTTTGGGCAACAAAGCTTCATTTATCAGTGTATGGATCCTCTAAATTGTTGTATTGTACTCAGGTGACCGTTAAGGCCCTTGGGCCTCTTGCTAAAAGATAAAACAGCAAAATTTTAGCTTCTCTTTAAATTTTTGGTATAAGATCCTTGAAGAAAATTTCTGTGTTACTTAGATCAAGATTTTAACATATGAAACATTTTGAACAAAATTTACAGATTAAAATAGTTCATGTACTTTGGTTTTGTCTCTTAAATATTCAGCATTAATGTTGTGTTCAAAACTGAAAGAAAGTTTTAAAATTTTAGTACATGCTAACAGCTTTACTTTATGCAATTTTTGCAACTTAATGACAGAATGATGTATAAACTGCATAAAATTCTTTATTTTTTTCTCTAGAAATATGAATTTCGACATCCACATCCCAAAAAATCAGAAGACCTGAGAATTTACGAGTCACATGTTGGCATTGCATCTTGGGAAGGAAAAATTGCAACTTACAAAGAGTTTGCGCAGAATGTTATACCACGTATAAAGAATTTAGGTTAGTTTCTTAGGAATTAATTCTTAATTAATGTAAAAAATAATTTTTTTTTAAAAACACCTACACAAGGACCCCTCTTAGACATTAAGATTAAATATATATCATTCTTATGGGCTGAATCATGCTGGAAAGCTCGTCAGCTTATTAGGTTAATGAACAGTTTTATAGTTGACAAGAGGAATGTGCTAAGAGTATTTGCACCTTAGTGAAATTTAGTTTTGTATTTTATACCTGCTAGGTTACAATACAATCCAGATGATGGCCATTATGGAACACGCTTATTATGCCAGCTTTGGGTATCAAGTCACCAGCTTCTTTGCTGCTTCTAGGTATGTCAGCATAGTATCAGTCAGTGTAAAAAATTAAAACCCACAGCATAGTATCAGTCAGTGTAAAAAATTAAAACCCACAGCATAGTATCAGTCAGTGTAAAAAATTAAAACCCACAGCATAGTATCAGTCAGTGTAAAAGATTAAAACCCACAGCTTAGTATCAGTCAGTGTAAAAAATTAAAACCCACAGCATAGTATCAGTCAGTGTAAAAAATTAAAACCCACAGCTTAGTATCAGTCAGTGTAAAAGATTAAAACCCACAGCTTAAGTGCAATCAGTTCTGAATTTTATGTTTTCATATCACACCGTGACATTCTTATGAAGTGGAGATACAATAAATGTACTGTAACGTTTACACCTGTTTCAGGGTTTGTTACAATGAAAATAAATTATTGTGGGTCTCCTGTTTCTGAATTTTACCCTTTAACTCTAAATAAAAAGTCAGGTTGTAAATTTATAAAATTTATTATGATGAAAACAATGAATAACAATGAACAATAAGATAATTATCAATTAAGCAATAATAAATTATGGGTCACCTGAAAATAAAAAGGGTATCTGGGTCTAATGGGTCACCCGTATGAATTTGTAAACAATAATCAAATGGGTATGGGTCTGCCGGGGATTGGCATCAAATTCAAGCTTTTTAAATAAAATGGGTCTGAAAGTCTTAAATAATATTTACCATTCTCTCTGGATTCGGGTTATCCATAGTTGGTAAATGCCAGTAAATCCAGTAATAAATAATAGAGATTAGGTAATGAGGCCAAGTGACTTTCCGTCATGGGCTGGGGATGAAAAGTGACAGTTGGGTTCAAAACCGCTGTTTATATACCTTTTGATCACTAGGGCCGAATGTATCCTCGCGCGAATTGAGCAGTACCGCTCTGTTTAGCGCCATATTTGGAGGAGATGAAAGTTCGGCGCGGCCTAGCTTTGAAATTAAACGTAATTGGGTGTGTTATGAGGGGATTATGGTAGGAAACTGTAAGGAAAAGACTTAGGGCATGATGCCATAGATAATAAAGGTAAGGATTGGAGTTTATGGGTCTCGCACATATATTTATGTGCATGATTCAAATGTTGTTATAGAGGAAATTCGGGTAACCCTACGATTATACATACAAACATGTTTACACAATAGTACTAACGATAGTATAGTGATATTTCCACATCGGACATACAAAGAAGTGAGATAATATAATATTAATTACACAATATGTAATTATAAGGACGAATATAACATGACTGGGGCGGTATAAACGTAACAGTACATTGAAGGTTGAATCACATGCTTTGTTTTCTAATTCAGTCGTTATGGGACACCTGAGGAGTTAAAGGAATTGATAGACGTTGCTCACGCTAACGGTATTACAGTTTTACTAGACGTGGTCCACAGTCACGCATCAAAGAATACCGTGGATGGGCTGAACCAGTTTGATGGAACAAACTCGTGTTTCTTCCACGAAGGCGGGAGGGGGCAGAATGATTTATGGGGATCCAGACTCTTTAATTATACAGAGTAAGTGGAATATTGTGTTAAAATATCAGCAAAAGTAGATTCCAGAACTTCATCTATTCAACAGCAGAGATGATTCAAGTAAAGTTATTAATACTGGACAACTGAGGTACAGGTGTTGTTCAGAGAAAGTTTATATCTAATATTTTATTGTTTACAGATGGGAAGTTCTACGATTCTTGCTATCTAATCTACGTTGGTGGATTGAGGAGTATAGATTTGATGGCTTTAGATTTGATGGAGTAACTTCTATGCTGTATCATACTCATGGAATAGGTATATTCTTCATTATGTTAAAGATTTGGAGGTCAAAAATTTAAAGTTATAACATGAAAATGATTGCTATTTTATTTGTTGATTTCGGTTCTTTTTTTGACAACTGCTACCACAATTATTGTAACTACTCTAATTTTTTTTGCAAGAATTTTATTGGTGTGTAATTTTGTGAGGTCTTTGAAGCATGAAAATTAATTTCTTTTGAATGATGCTAGAAGATAGCTCATATTATCTGTAATTAGCATATAGTGGATACACAAAATTAACACACTGAAATAAATACAGTGTTATCGTCCTGTGAAAATAAAGGGATGGTACGTGTGCTGAGATTGTTTCCAATTATTTATAGGTCATGGTTTCAGTGGAGATTATGGGGAATACTTTGGTTTGAACACAGACACAGAATCCTTGGTCTACCTTATGATATCCAATCAAATGCTGCACTCACTTTACCCAGAATTCATGATAACAATAGCTGAGGTAAATATATAGTAATACCCTTCATGTGAACAATGAGGTAGATATAATAATTTCTTTCGTACAATGTCAAATAAAAATTACACAGTTTAAAAAAAAAAGAACAAAAAAACCCCCACAAATGCACTCATATAAAACATATATCAAATGCTTTTTTAATTGTATATAATATTAAAAGTATGAACAAATTGTGACCAAAATGCCTTGTCTAATGTTTGATGTGAATGTTTTAGGAAGTGTCAGGAATGCCAGCATTATGTCGCCCCATTGAGGAGGGGGGAACAGGGTTTGATTACCGTCTAGCCATGGCCATTCCTGATATGTGGATCAAGGTGAGAGAACTTCATATAAGCTGTACATTTATTTAACTACCCTTGATATACCTTTTCCTCATTTTTCAATGGATAGTAAAACCATTAGACCAGCTCTAGTTATTTCTGTGTCTGAATATGAAGTTTTCATTTTGTAGTTTTTAAAAGAGCTCTCAGATGACCAGTGGGAAATGGGAAAGATCTGTCACACTCTAGCAAACAGACGATATGGAGAGAAATGTATCGCGTACGCGGAGAGTCACGATCAGGCTCTGGTGGGGGACAAGACTTTAGCCTTCTGGTTGATGGATAAAGAGATGTACACCCACATGTCCACTTTATCACCACCTAGTCTAATTATAGACAGAGGAATGGCCCTCCACAAAATGATCAGGCTGATCACCATGGGATTGGGAGGAGAGGGATATTTAAACTTTATAGGTACACTAAATGCTTTGGTAAGAGATTGGGGAAAAAATCATTTATTATACCCCCCGCAAACGAAGTTTAGGGGGGGGTATATTGGAATCAGCTTGTCCGTCTGTCTGTCTGTCTGTCTCTCTGTCCGTCTGTCTGTAGACGAGATTTTGTCCGGACCATTTCTTGGAAACTGTTGCAAGGATTTGTCTGAAAATTTGTATACTTATTCTTTGCCATATGAAGGTGTGCACCTGGTATTTTCATCATGATTGGATAATTAATTTGCATTTTACAGGTGTTTTTTTTTTTTCATTTTTATTATGTGGTTTTGTCCAGATCTGTTTCCAGAGACTATTGCATAGATTTGAATGAAAATTTGTACACTTATTATTTACCATATGAAGAAGTGCACCTGGTAGTTTCAACATTATTTGATAATTTTTCTGCATTTTACAGTTTTTTTTTTTCATTTTTATTGACTTAGTCATTTTGGGTTCATATCTAAGGTTTGAGACGTAGAATCTAGAACATTTGTACAAAAATGTGAACTACAGCTTAAAACTACTCATTAGAACTAAAAAAAAATCACAAAGTATTAAAAACAGTTTTTACATTACACAGCAGAATTTTAAATCCATTTGTCCCGTGGGAGTAATGAGTGGACATGCATCCAGTTAAAGATTAATTAATGAGTTCAGTGTGGGAAGCTGTTAGGGCATCTCTGATCAAGCAGGTCTTATCTATACCTCCTGGGAATTGGGCAGAAAGAAATAAAGATCTCTGTTGTCTAAGTCTCTTAATTGTAATTTATGTCTGTCAAAATACATAGTTACTGGAACCAGCCTTTTATTTTTAAAATGAGTTTGATATAAAGGTATTAAGATGAATGTGATTTTATATAATTAATTATGATTTTTTTTTTCAACAATCAGTTTGCAGAGTGTCATGTCTCACAAAGATGACAGATAGTTGCAAACTATTTTTTCAATGTAATAAAAAACACTGTAATTACTAGTATTGATGTTTTATTAAGCTGCATCTTAGTTTCATTCATTAAAAAAAAATATAATGAGTAATTAAATTTTCAATCTAAATGTTTAAGCAAATTGTGAACACCTCTCACATCTAGAAAACATTTGTGATTTGGTACCTTCTCTGAAAAACCCAGCGGGGGGTATTTGTCCCTTTTGGACAGTTCTAGTTATTTCAAATTTTAGGAAAGAGTTGGGAAAAGTGTGATACAAAATGTAATGGAGCATTGATAAAAATGTGCAGCCTTTCTAAAGGATTATTTTTGTCCCATGTTATTTTTGCACTTGTGATATTGTCCTGTTCAGGATTTGCAAGGCAGAGTTTTTATAAAAGAGAGATAACTCTTTCTCTCTGTTGAATTTACTCCATTTTGAGTTTGCCCAGGGCAAAAGGGTTGAAAATAGAATGGGAGTGAAAATTTCCATTTAGAGTATATTGTAACATATGGAACTCTATGCTTCTTCAGGAAATGAATTTGGTCACCCTGAATGGCTAGATTTTCCCAGGGCAGGTAACAACTCCAGCTACCACTACTGTAGAAGACAATGGCACCTGGTAGATGATGATCTACTCAGGTACAAATATCTTAACAACTTTGACAGAGATATGATGCATTTGGAAATGAAGTATGGCTGGTTGAGCCATCCACAGGTAAGTTGGAAAGATTACAGGCTTTCTGTAAACAATTTGACCATTCTATAACTATTTGGATTTTAAGAAGACATTTCTAATTCCTCTTTTCATAGAACTACATTTCTCGCAAGCATGAAGGTGATAAGGTGATTGTGTTTGATAGAGCAGACGTTTTGGTGTTTGTATTCAACTGGCATCCATCCAACAGTTATACAGACTACAAAATAGGGGTCAATATTCCGGGGAAGTATCCTTCACAAAAAAGGAATGAATGGACATTTTCTTACAGATTTTGGCAGCAGATTCTTACAGAAAATTTTTTTTTAACAAGTGCATGGCATTAACGTACATTTATTTCATTAATCAATGAACTCTAAAACTGCAGGAAGAATCAATTGGTCAAAGTTGGAAATTAAACATACATACAATGATTTAACCTGTATATGTTTTTATGTGGAGCAAGACTAATATTATACTAATATTATGTGCTGGCAGAATACTAGTGAATTACTGAAATCTGAATTTGATATGAAATTAGGATCCTTCATAATGTCAGATACAAAATGGTGCTTGACTCTGATGCTGAGCAGTATGGTGGACACAAACGTTTAGATCACTCTATGGAATACTTCACCTCCAACGATCCTTGGGACAACAGACGGTGTTCTATGATGGTAGGTACATTACATAAAATGATTAAACTACAACTCTCGGATGGTGAGTATTTTATCTCACAGGGACCCATTGATCTTTAAGTTCATAAAGTACCGGTAATATACAGGACAACAAAGGACACAAATGATTTAAAGGGAGGAGCACAACTGTAAGAAAGGAAAAAGTAGAACAGGTCACAGGGCCATAAAACTTAGACGAGCTCACTTTTGATCTCAGTCTCACTTTTCCACTATTAATTCCTTTGGTAAAAGTGAGACTGAGATCAAAAGTGAGCTCCTCTAAGTTTTATGGCCCCGGAGCCAGATCTAAAAGGAACACTGTTCTGTCCCTAAGGAAATATAGGTCACATGCAGCAACTGAGGCATGCCCACTAGTTTGCATCTCAAGATGCTACAGCTCTGCAGGATCTGTCTGGATTAGACTTGGGAGTTATTTGGGAACAGAGCTTACAGATCTATCTGATCATTTATCCAGAAAATAAGGTAACGACCAGAGTCCTCATCACAGACATCTTGAATATCTCTGAATTAAATATAAATATTCTTTATTACAGGTGTACATTCCTTGTCGAACTGCATTTGTCCTTGCAAAAGTGGATTGACCTTGGCTAATGCTGTCATAGTGCTAATTTTATTCTTACGATCTGAAAGCATTTTTCCAGTGTTCTTTACCGCTCTCCCACAGCTTAGGACAATAATAAAGTGTGTGCCATATTGTAGTCAAAACAATCTATAAGATATAGCATGCTCTGTATTTTAAAGGGACATAATAAATGCATAATTAAGCTTTATGCCACACTGTTATTAAGAGTCTGTACGTCTTCCACTTCAATGACGACTCAGCTCATTTTGATGTTGGACTATTTTAATATTTAATTGGCCTGTTATTTTTTCGTTAACACCATTAATGTTGCTACTGCTGGCAATAGTTACAAGGTTGTTGTATGTTTATAAAACATAACGTAATAAAATTGATGATAAATTTACATTGATGTTTTGTCATGATTGTTGAGTAGAGAGGAGTGTCCGATCATCTTGACAAGTTATGTTCTTACTGGGCCACAATATCTTAATAGGGCAAAACATGGAAATTCTGATGAATATACAGTGAACAGCATGGAAGATAAACCAAGCACTTTGCATATTAAAGAGACTGCAAAAAGTTATCAAGTTTGATAATTATTTTATTGATTTGAAAATAAACTACCTGTATATTTAATACAAAACATGCAATATCACAGGGAACAGTCACAGAGTGCATTATCTTTTGATGAAAGGCTTGAATTTTAAACTACCTGATGATGCTTCCATGTCAATATAACAAATGGCTTTGTTGTACTTGAGAAGATTTTTTTAAAAAAATTCCCATATATTCCTTTGTAAAAATTTGATCCCTCATTGTGGCTCCTCCCTATCCCAGGGGTCATCATTTGAACAAACTTGAATCTACACTACCTGAGGATGTTTCCATATCAATATGACTAAACATAGCTTTTCTGTTCTTGAGAAGAAATATTTTTTCTATATGTTCTTATGTAAAACTTTCCATCCCCCATTGGGCCCCATCCTACCCCTGGGGGTCATCAATTGAACAAAATTGAATCTACACTACCTGAGGATGCTTCCGTATCAATATGACTAAACATAGCTTTTCTGTTCTTCAGAAGAAGATATTTTCCTTTATATTTCTATGTAAAACTTTGATCCTCCATTGTGGCTCCGCCCTACCCCCAGGGGTCATGGTTTGAACAAACTTGAATCTACACTACCTGAGGATACTTCCATATCAATATGACTAAACATTGCTTTTCTGTTCTTGAGAAGAAATATTTTTTCTATATGTTCTTATGTAAAACTTTCCTTCCCCCATTGGGCCCCATCCTACCCCTGGGGGTCATCATTTGAACAAAATTGAATCTACACTACCTGAGGATGCTTCCATATCAAAATGACTAATCATGGTTTGCAGTTCTTCAGAAGAAGATATTTTCCTTTATATTTCTATGTAAAACTTTGATCCTCCATTGTGGCCCCGCCCTACCCCCGGGGTTAAGATTTGAACAAATTTGAATCTACACTACCTCAGGATGCTTCCATATAAATATGACTCATCATGGCTTTGCTGTTCTTGAGAAGAAGATTTTTAAAGATTTTTCCTATATATTTCTATGTAAAACTTTGATCCTCCATTGCAGCCCCGCCCTACCCCCGAGGGTCATGATTTGAACAAACTTGAATGTACACTACCTAAGGATGCTTCCACGTGAGTTTCATCTTTCCTCGCCCTATGGTTCTTGAGAAGAAGATTTTTAAATGATGCCATTATTTTTTCAGTAATTCCTAATTATCTCCCCTTGAAAGAGGGTGTGGCCCTTCATTTGAACAAACTTGAATCCCCTTTACCCAAGGATACTTTGTGGCAAGTTTGGTTGAAATTGGCCCAGTGGTTCTTGAGAAGAAGTCGAATATGTGAAAAGTTTACAGACAGACAGACAGACAGACGGACGCCGGACAAAATGTGATCAGAAAAGCTCACTTGAGCTTTCAGCTCAGGTGAGCTAAAAACACTAAAAAAAAGGAATATATAAGGATAAAATTTAGCACCAGTATTGTTGGAATTCATTGTACAAATGGTAGATGTCTATAAATAAACTATCTAGACTTGACCCTGTGACCTCAAAATCAAAACAAGAGATTTAAAACAAATGATTGCAAAGGTTAATGGAATTATAAACATGTATATAGATAACAATTATTTTCTTTGCCATAAAACAGTAGCACTATAATGGAATGTAAAACATGGCACATAATACATGATAATATTATACAAATAAAATGTATCCAATTGTTCAACCGTAGCATTGTATCTATAGTTAGCCATTATGCATTGATTGTAAAAAAAAAAAAAGAAAAAAAAAGAAATAACAATGAATCAAGGTAAATAATAACAATGTGAGCAATAAGTGTAAACAAAGCTGAAATCTGCTTAATGGTGTAGTCATTTGTAATCAATAGGCCAGGTAAGTCTAGTACTGCATAAATAGGATCACAGACACATTAAATTACTTATATATTATTATTATCAATATAATAATTATTTATAACAGTTTGACTAAATCCCCCACTCTTAGTTTGGCATCCTCAGTTTGTTCATCATTTCTGATATGTATTCCAAATGGAATCTGAAAGTAATTGTTACACTTCAATACATCACTAGCAAAGAAAAACAATCTCATTACAACGATTTAAAAATATTCCTGCGATGTTTAATTTTGTGATAAGGAGCTTGGTAGTATAGTAGAGCTTAGTAATACGATAGGGTCTGACTTCTATAAATAACAGATTTCCTGACAATACTTACTTTGCGGCCCCTACATACAGCCAGTGTTCTGAGTGGTACTTACTTTGCGGCCCCTACATACGGCCAGTGTCCTGAGTGGTACTTACTTTGCGGCCCCTACATACGGCCAGTGTTCTGAGTGGTTCCCTACTCCTCTGTCCTGTCTCCTGGTCCAAACAAATCATCTGACACCGAGTACACCCACCCTGTCCCTGAATAAAGAGAACCCCGCATCAAATCACTGATTAAATATGTGTGGAAACATGTATACTGTCTTAGTTGTAAATATTCTACTGTATATAAAGAAACCAATGCTATTATGCTTATATTCACACAAATTATCAATGTATGCTCTCCTATTTATGTGGATACCATATATCTACTGTAAAGCTCTTCGGATTTGATCACATTACCAACCTATATTTATATACTGAAAAATGTTTAAAAAATTTCTAAAATATTGTAAATTTATTCTGCTGTATTTGAATTTATACATGGTGTATTTATACATACTGTAAATCTGTGATATCCTATTTGTATTTATACATGGTGTATTTATACATACTGTAAATCTGTGATATCCTATTTGTATTTACACATGGATACTGTTTTTATGCATACTGTAAATCTGTGATATCCTGTTTGTATTTATACATGGATACTGTATTTATACATATTGTAAATCTGTGATATCCTGTTTGTATTTATACATGGATACTGTTTTTATTCATACTGTAAATCTGTGATATCCTGTTTGTATTTATACATGGATACTGTTTTTATACATACTGTAAATCTGTGATATCCTGTTTGTATTTATACATGGATACTGTATTTATACATACTGTAAATCTGTTATATCCTATTTGTATTTATACATGGATACTGTATTTATACATACTGTAAATCTGTGATATTCTATTTGTATTTATACATAGATACTGTATTTATACATACTGTAAATCTGGATATCCTATTTGAATTTATACATAGATACTGTATTTATACATACTGTAAATCTGTGATATTCTTTTTGTATTTATACATGGATACTGTATTTATACATACTGTAAATCTGGATATCCTATTTGTATTAATACATGGATACTGTATTTATACATACTGTCAATCTGGATATCCTATTTGAATTTATACATGGATACTGTATTTATACATACTGTCAATCTGGATATCCTATATATATTTATGCCAGCTGTATTAATACGTACTGTAAATCTATTCTGTCCTATTTGTAGATTACCCCAATTATCTTCTTGGTAGCTTGTTCCTCCATCCACAATTAGATTAGCTCGGAAACGTAAAACTAGATTTTCAAGATCTGCCAATAATAAACCAATGTTGATGCTGTTAACAGTAAATCAACATTTACGAAATTCAAGTTCAAGTGCCTCTAATACTCTACATGTCCAGAACATTTATAGAAACAAGCATGCATAAAAACCAATGAGTCAGTTTCTATATTCCTTAGTAAATTTGTTGGGAGAGATATAACAACAATACCTATCTGCTCTACAGCCTCGTTTTCATTGCTCAGCCTCTCTTTGATTTTGCTGTGGAGGTCCTGTACACTTGGTCTGGTGATTAGTAGGTACTGCGACTCATTTGTCAAGGATAGGCTCTCCTCCTGGCTTACCTCTGTCAAGGATTCCAAAAAATAATGTTAGCCTGCCAGTTTGTTTGACTTTCCATCCTACTCTAATGCTCTGTTCACACAGAGAGTTTAATTTAAATTAAATGTAAGTTACTGGGAATTAAATTTGAACCACATTCACATGGAGAATTTAATGCGAATTAGTTTAATTTGAATTAATTTACTGTGCATCAAATTACTTCACAATAGCTCCATGTGAACGCTAAGCAAAGCTAATTCGAATTAAATTCTGATGCATACGTAATGGCAAAATTAAGTCACATGCCACATTTCAGTAGTCAAATATACATGCTTATGCTTTTTTTGAGTGAAAAACAAAGAAAAAATATGTTGATCTCCAAAAATGTGTACAGACACTATAACATTATATGTCAAATGGATCTGCTCTGCATAAGGTGATGTGATTTGAATATGATGTCATCATAGCGTTACTGAATAGCCTTACTGTAGAAATAAAATTTTAATGTGCATTAGTTAACTTCGCTTTAACTCATTTTAATTTGCATTAGTTTAATTGGCATTATTTTACTTCGCATTAATTTACTGCAAATTAAATATTTAATCGCATTCTTGTGAACAGGGTATAAGATCCAACACATAATTACATACTATAAAGGTTTTTTTTTCTCTGTGTTATTTTTGTCCTATCACACTTGCAAAAGATTTTACTTCAAATTTCCCAAGACAAGTTGTATTACATGTAAAAGAAAGATAACTCTGTCTTCACCCACTAACAACAATGGCGAAAATGGGTAAAAATGGAGTGGGATGGGGAGGGGGGAATATTTCTGTACACAGTATATTCTACATTCTCTTAACAGAGAGATTACTTGCATAAATATATTAGTGTTTATCTTCAATATCATAGTGAAAAACACCTCTTTTCCATATACATAGTAGGTAAATCATCTTTAAGCTTAATGAGAAAATCACCTGTGTTTTTATCTCTTAGTTTACTAGTTCTTGTGTAATTACTGTTTTGTTGAATAAGCCGACATCCAGGTCTCTGTAAAGCTTTACTGATCCAATCTGATGCATGATCTCCACAATCAGTACCAAGCACTCTGAAGAATAAGATTCATATAAAATTGAGAACGAGTACTGAAGAGAATCCCTCTATTTACTGATAGGGTTCATCCTTACCTGTCATTACAGACTTTACTGGTACAAGACAAAGAAGAGTTGTACTGAGGACCCCCTCCTCCCTGTGTAGTGGTAGTATCTATTTACTGATAGTGGTCATCCTCACCTGTCATTACAGACTTTACTGGTACAAGACAAAGAAGAGTTGTACTGAGGACCCCCCTCCTCCCTGTGTAGTGGTAGTATCTATCTACTGATAGTGGTCATCCTTACCTGTCATTACAGACTTTACAGGTACAAGACAAAGAAGAGTTGTACCGAGGATCTCTCTCCTCCCTGTGTAGTGGTAGTATCTATCTACTGATAGATGTCATCCTTACCTGTTATTACAGACTTTACTGGTACAAGACAAAGAAGAGTTGTACCGAGGATCTCTCTCCTCCCTGTGTAGTGGTAGTATCTATCTACTGATAGATGTCATCCTTACCTGTCATTACAGACTTTACTGGTACAAGACAAAGAAGAGTTGTACCGAGGATCTCTCTCCTCCCTGTGTAGTGGTAGTATCTATTTACTGATAGTGGTCATCCTTACCTGTCATTACAGACTTTACTGGTACAAGACAAAGAGGAGTTGTACTGAGGACCTTTCTCCTCTCTGTGTAGTGGCACTATCAGTGGCTCCAAATCTGACAAAAATGTGTTCATTTAAATGAAAATTAACTTGGTTAAATTAATTTGAATTTTATTTCAAATGTGTCCATGATTTTTATGTAAAGAACTGTACACAGTATATGCTGTTTACAGGAAGTATAGAATTCAGTTAGGGTTCCAATTTTTTCTTGGCTTAAAACAAAAAACCTACCTTTATAGTGAAGTGTCAAAGTACCCTTTAACAGATCTATAGAGGGCTTTATTAGACACAGTCTAGGCTCCCTTTTCTGACTAATTGCCACTCCATTGTCAGATACAATCATCCACTCCCTGTCATAGAGCAGGCCTTTAGATCCTATATCCCACTCTAACACCTATAACAAATATGCATGACATTTCTGCAATACAAAACTCTACAGATTAACTAAAATGCTCGGAGAATGTATCAACATTGTAAATGCACAGACCTTTCAAAGTTTGCAATCAGGAAGCACCAATCACTTACTGTAAAGGCGGCACAAGATTTGACTGGGTACAGACATATATTGGTCAGTCTTCTTATATCCTCTGTAGGAGAAAAAATCCCATCTCTTGTCCTGGGCATGTCTAATGGTCTAACAGTTGTCAATGTTTGGCACTTATTATCACTAATTTTATTTTCATTCTGTTTTAATTTGTTTTCTGTGACCACCTTTTTGTCAGTTTTCACAGATGGAAGAAATTCCTCGTCAAACTCTACTTTATCCCAGTCCTCTGTAAATGTGGGCATCACTTGGACATTTTCCAGGAAACTCTCCACAATAAACTTGAGGCAGTGCTGAGCATCTTTAATGGTGGACATGTAGCCAAAGGAAATCCTCACAGACCCTGTAGGCTGCTCATCAATCAAATCCTTGTCATCCCCACACACATGTCCTGCCTTCAAACAGAAAATAAATAATAAAAGAACAAGTGATTTTAAATATTTCGTGATTTTATTTAGTCCTAGGTATATTTCTGTACATATCTTCTGATCAATAGAAAAACAATTACTCAGAACAGAAATTATTATAAATAGCGAAATATTTTAACTATGCACTGAATAAAATATGCTTTTCAAAGCTATAAAGTGATGCAATATTTAATTTAACCCTTCACTTTAAATTTTATTCTCTTTCGTAATTTATGTTGGGAGTGAATTCCATAACTGACCATCAGATTTTTCTTGATATCTTCTGAGGATATATTGAGGAACATTTGACAGGCTCCTATGTTACAGAAACAGCCGGTTCTGAGGTGAATATTGTACAACTGGGCTAGCTTGTCCACCTGTACACAATAACCAGGTGATAAGGACTGGTGTACTCAGACATCACTGGTGTAATTGTTCTTAATTAATTAAGAGTAACTGATGCAAAAGTTTAACATACAATTTGATGGATTGCTGAAATACAGCTATACAAATAATACATTGTGGACATGGAAATTTTTTGTTGTAAATTTTCAAAATTTTCATGTGTGTGCATTAGAGTTATTTCCCTTTGCATACTCCCTTACTTCAGCAAATCCTATGTATTCCCCATTAGCTCTCCGAAGGTTAAAATTCACCACTCCTCCCTGGGTACCTGGGTCACAGAAGTTTCCATTGGTGTATATCTCAGCCAAGGACATGCCATTACCATGACAAAGACCAGAAAGTTTATGTTGGAAATACTTAGCAATGAAAAATGTGTGTCCAGAAATTCTTCCCATACCATCTGAAAATACAATAAAATGTTGCCATGAAAAACAAAAAAATACATGAAATTTTATCTTTGAAATAATTATTTTTCCCTCAGCACTCTTCATGCATCATTTATGACATGCATCTATTATCAGTTTATGGTGAGAAAAAGGATTTGATGGGGCATCTAGCATGGAAACATTAAATGTTGAAAAGATTGAGACTCAATTACCTGCGACCACACAATGTCTATTTCCCAGCAATTTACACCCCAGATAAAACAATATGGACTGTCTAAGATATCAAAAAACACTTCAACACAATGTTAATGGACTATACACATTTAAAAATTGCTATAATTGATTGTCAAAATCAGATGGGAAATGCAGGTATTTCATCATTAAAGCTCTGTTCTTAATGGTGCAATTATAAGAAAAAATGTTATCACTACCTCCTATTTTCTTCAAGGCATCCAAACCATGTCTAACAGCAATAATGTCTAAAAATGGTATGGTGCCATCCTCAAACCTGGAAAAATAAATATTGGTTGGATCTTTGATGTACCATAGTGTAAAGGAAAAAGTTACTGGTGTATAAAATATATGTATGTAAACAGAAGCTATGACCAGGCTGACATGTAGAGAATCTATCAACATCTTCCCACATATGTAGTTCCCTCACAATATATATATATATATATATATATATATGTATATTTACATTACACATGTATTTTGCTTATGAAGTGTGTGGAAAGCTACAGCATTCAAAACACCATAACGTGAACAAGGGGTCAAAAGGTTAAGGTATGCATTTATTTTGACGTCACAAACGCTGAACGCCATGGAATTGCAACGTCATAAGCGAAAATCAAAATTCACGCTTACATTGAACAGAAGCTGTTGCAATGGCTCTTCCATTAATTGTATCTTACCCGAAGGATAATACAAGGATTTTGAAATATAAATCACATTTGCAGTCAAGGCAAGGAGTTAAAAAATGTAAATATAAGCATTGAATCATTATTTTTTGAAAGATATAGTCTCATAACTTCAACGGTGTGTGCAAACAAATTCTCATAACGCGCTAACGCGCATTACTCAATTTGTTTGTACACACCGTTGCAGTTATGAGACTATATCTTTCAAAAAATAATGATTCAATGCTTAAATACCGGTATATAATCCTCATCTATTAATATCTTTCTGCACTAGTACTTCCTCTACAATTAAATTATTTGGTGTAGAGCGAGAGTATTCAAATAGATCTAAGTTCCAAAAATATGCAGTTGCTTTTATCACTCTATGTAAATTTCCCAGTGGGTATGTATAAACTTGGGTGAAAATGGTATGTTGTGACATCTCTACATTGAAATTTGGTCTGTGGGGTGGCCAATCAAAAAATCAATGCCAGATTTCTAAACCCTGAAAAATTAGGGTATATTACAGAGTGGCTTTCCCTACAGGTGACCAAATATTGGACAGGAGATTTGGTAATTTTATGACATAGCTGGATGAATTGTCGAATAATCCCACAGAGCTTGCTTATTCCGTTCCTGACCGCATTGATCAGAAATTGTATTCAGACTTCCAAAAAGATTTACGCATAATGAAGAAATATTGTACAGAACCTCTCGACTGGGAGATTGCTTATTTTCAAATGAATGAATTTCATCAAAATTTTTTTTACCGTTGATTAGTCTTCCAACATTAGGTGAATACTTCTAAAGTTATTAAAATATAATGCTTTCCAAATTTGCAACAGGATGAGAATTTTGATGACCATATATGCAAAACTGGGCACAAAATATATTGAAATTACAAAAAAATGTATTTCAGAAACTGAACATACAATGAATATGTATCTGTAATTTTGTCAACATAAATACACTTGAATGACCAGCGCAAGGCCTTGAATCTGGGCACATTATGACACACAGTACAAATATTGAAATCTGAACCGCATGTAGTGCCCCAAATCAGATTTAAAATTAATATCAGATCAAATCACGGTGTTATGAAATGTTCTCGTCAATAAACTTTACTACAAATAAGTAGATTAAGGAGCTTAGGTAGGGATAATTTCCGATTCATTCTGTGTCAGTATGTGTGGAAATGTCCTTTACAATACAAGCATGCTCGACTTCATAAAAGATTCAAATATTTTTCTTTGACCAAATATTAACGAAGGTGTTTATATTTGGTTTTTCTTAAAATCCCCTAAAGCAGTTGTTTTAAGGAGATTGTAAGCAAAAATATTTGTAACAATTAATTATATCAAAATAAATTGAAGTTTATGCAGAAAACAAAATTGAAAATGAAAAAGAAATTGAAAATTGTTTGTAAGTGGGTCTAGGTTTTCCAGTGAAATCAATGACAGAATACTCAATCCTAGATCCAACATTTGTAAAATATTCACAGATAAAATCAGTTTTCATTATAGAATGATTTAATTTATTAAAGATAAGATTAGGCCAGCATACTTAGTACCAATATACAATGATTAAAAAAAAAATAATATTAAAAAATAAATTTCCTCAGTCAGGATTAGATATATACAAGTACTTTAAACGAAATATTAAAGAATATACTTATTAATAATTCAGTTACTTCTTTTTTAAATAAAAAATACCAAAGAGATGGTAATTTTTGCATTCAAAAGCACTTGTTGAATTTCTCATAAGAAAATTGAACCACATATTACAATTGTGCCCACATAGTTGATTATGCTCTGAAAATTCCCATGCACTATAATTATTTCACTAAATGCTACATTCCCATCAATCAAGAAAAAAGAAATTGAGCATTAGTTTTCATTAATCATCTTTTAATTTGATAGGGACTTCTCCCTTTTCTCTCTCGTTAAAACTTTTTTTCTGACAATGACAATCTTTCATGAGTAAAACAAATTTCAATTACATCCCTGGGTTTTCAGAAGTAATTTGTGGAGTTTTGTCGTCAGGGGTTTATCACTATAAGAATGTAGTGGAGTAATCAATAGGCCTTAATTGTAAAATATGTCCTCCAGTCTTCCTGTAGCTTAAAATGTGTCATAAAGTGAGGAGAATACAGGAATTATTGGGGAGGCCTGGCCTCTGGGCTTAAATCCTGTCAGGCGTAATGTTGTATGTGCAGCAAGACATGACAATTTCTCCCATCATTATTTCTCATCTTACATGGCTAGTGGAAATTATTTTACTCTCTACAGTAAAACTGAGAGATTAATGTACACTCTCATTACACCCTCATTTCCTAATTTAAAGTTTAGAATGTTGTATATACATGGCTGACCATGTCATATGTTAATGTGAAAATAGTTTTTTTTTCAATTTTTGATTTCAGTCCCCAAGCTTTGGGTGTTTCCTTAAGAAATATTAAAAACATATATGAAATATTAAAAATCTCTCTATTTGGTTGTGCAAAAATTAAACTCTTAACATACAAGTTGAGCTAAAATTGCAGAAGCTGCCCATAACCTCCATTCTTCCGTTGAGTAATCAGATTTAGGTCTTTTAGCAGGTTATAAATCCTATCTGGACCAAATTTATACATCAATCAAGATTTGGATTCTGGATGTTGTAATTCCTCAAGGAGTGATCAGTTATGTGTGTTTAGAAATGGTCTTTTACAAAGTACAGTTGAACTTCGGTATCTCTAACACAGATATCTTGAATACCATGGATATGTCGAAGTGAATGGGAAGTCCTTACCATGTATTTCATAAGTATTTTACCCTCTATATCTTGAACCCAAGTTTTTCCTCGAAGTTTGACTGTAACTATAAATCCTACTTTCAAAAAACTTGCATTCATGAATTCTGGGATACATACCACCAGTCATCCTTGAATGTAGACTCAATTAAGGTTTAGTGTTATACAATATTCCTAAGCACCTTCAGTTTTATTGCTGAACCAAAAAATAAATGAATAAAAAAAAAAAAAAAAGAGGCCCAAGGACCACAACACTCACCAGAGTAACATGCCATTTTTCTTCAAAAAGATTTTTTTTTAAATTTTATTTTATATTCCCATGAAAAATTGTGACCTCATATTTTAGCCCCACTCTTACTCAAGGTTTTCAGAATCCACACAATATGAGGATGCTTCAATATTAATATAACTGATTAAAAAAACTTACAATGACCATGTACGATAACAATAAGATGAATACTTTCTTCAGATGCTGTTGACTGGAATATTTAAATTATGATGTTAATATGAATACTACATTGTCCAATATTGCATAGATGTGGCACCTGAGAATGCTTCAGATGTCCTATATTGTCTAGATGATTACACTAAAATTTGTAAAATCAAGGGTACCTAGATATGTAAAATCATGGGCACTGTGAAGCATAGCATCCCATTGCAAGAGAGCACACTGATTCCTCTAAATGACCTCACCCACTTGCATACTCACAAGCACATTACTATATCCCCCACCCCAACTTCATTGCGAAGGGATAAAAAAGTTCATCCTCAAGTGATTATTAACCCAGTAATGACCAGATTTGCATAGATTCAGGATAAACATAAATGTACAATCATTCATATTTCAGATTGTGCATGTGACCAGTTTACAAGTTTACAAATTTTACAAATGAAAGATCACAGTAATGCTTTTTGATCAGTCCGTTCTTCAGTACATCTACTTGCTATACAAACAATGAGTTCAAGTCTACACATAATCTAGACTTATACCTGCATTATAAAAGGAATCACCCTCGCCCCTACAGCCAAACAACAGGGCACTGGTATTATAAATATCATTCTTGAAAGTCTTCTAGTTTTATTTAAATGTTTTAATCTTATTGGAACAATGTGAGCATTTTTCAGTTTTAAATAATTGAAACAAAATCAAATTACAAAATAACATTTTACAAATAATTTGCAACCAATATTTTACAACACAGTTATTATGGTCATTTCTGCCTTTTTGTTTTTACTTTATTTTCTCTCTTTAGATTATTACTTTAACAATATAAATCATAAAATACAAAATAAAATTCCTTCATTTTTCCACATCTGTAGCATTATCCATTACATAATGAATCAAATGAGTGACTTTTTAATGTTTCAGTGATCATAAACCTGCTACTGAGGGATGTTTTCCTTCTTGTTTTGATTGACATGAAATACCCCTCTGCCAGAATTTTACAATAGAAAGAAGCACAAGGAAATTAGATTATAAATGTAAAACTGGAATGAAGGGGGAATATTTCGCTCATCGACTGCTGATAAAATGGAAGGAAGCTGACAGAAGGGAGGATGAATGTAATTGAAATGTTGACAATTTTGAAGTTTATCGAGGAAAATTGATGGAAAGGGAGTTGGCCCATGAAAACTACACTATTATAAATACCGTGCATTATTTTTTAGGGATACTGTTTCTCCATCAAGAAAATTATGAAAGGTTTATGGAGAATAATTTAGTAGTTTTCTCTGACGGGAACATCAGGCCATGACCTGTTTTTACTTCGACTTCCTTATTCCATGATGTATCACTCTTCTGTAGAAAATATGGCTCCCTCAATATAACAGTACTCTACATACCAAATACTCTTAAAAATATTTCTATCTTATCATGTAAATTTCTCATTTTGCATTCTAATGCAGCAGCATGTAAAATTGTTAGCAATAAAGATTTTTAAAACAATGTCAACCTACCTATCTGCCAAGTTTGGCCTGAATACACGAAACATTTCTGTAGCAGAACTAGCTGCTACTGTCCCTCCTCCAAAGTAAGTCTTCTTCAACAGTGAGGCTGATGAGTTCTTGACAAGAAGGGCCCCTAAAAACAGAAAAAAACTATCCCTTTCTGATCAGACATTCTGGCAATGCATTGTTTTGTCATGGTCTTTGAAAATAAGTTTTTTACCTGCTGTATAGCACATTTTTTGACATTATTACTTTCTATAATCCTGTGATCTTGATCTGTTTGTGGAAGTATTATGATAATGACAACTAAACAGACTTTAAGTTCAAATAAGGTTTTATATTCATTATTAAATAAGAACATGACAGCAAAGCATCAGAGATACTACAGCTGTAGGAAGTTAATTGATTCTGTTATGTTATAAAGAAGAACAGAAGCTATTGTAACTCAACATCTTATATTGCAAAATAAAATACTACTGAAAAACGCCATAAAATAGTTCAATCATGCAGTTTTTCCTCCTGCAAGAAACTAAAAATAGCTATAAAAGGGGACACCCTACCAAGAAAATGCAATAAGTATTGGAAGATTAAAATTCTGTAGTACAATATGGATGTCCCAAAAAATTTTTCTCTTAGAACAGTATGGTATATTAAGAGGACCTAGATAGTGAATATTGAGAAAAGTGGCTGCAAAAACTTTAAGTTATAACTGATCATGTTAAACAATAAAATGCTTTCTTTGGTTGAATTAATGTCGCAGCTATTGCAGAAAAAATACATAACCCGCGTAAGCGGGTTATATAATTTTTTTCTGCAATAGCTGCGATGTTCATTCCCATACTAACAACCAAAGAAAGCATTTTATTGTTTATATCTATATCTGTATAAATAATTATTTAAAGTAGGATTAAAAAGATTAATTATTGTATGTCATAGTACGTTTCATTGATGGAAGAGCCACTGATCAAGAAATCTGTACAGGTGTCATGCCTAGTGTTGTTCATGAACTGATAAACAGCAATGATTTTCTTTAGAAATAAAGGAGAAAATATTCAGTGGATGTAAATATTGTAATTTTTATTTGAAACAACTGATATTGATATGCTATCTTTGAAGCTGAAGAAAACTACAGTAGAATCATCGTTTGTGAGGGTCAATGTTCATGTGTAACCAAAATATTACTAGTTTGTTTGTTTGTTGTGTAACGTCCCTCTCAAGAATTTTTCACCCATATGGAGACGCCATCACTTGCTGGTGGAGAGCTGCAAATTTTGACCTATGCTCGGCACTTAGGGTCATTGAGCAGTGAGGGATCTTTTTCATGCCAGCACCTACTGCGACACTGGGTATCGGTTTAATATACGGTCTCATCCAAAGGACCGTTCTCCATATCCCACAGTGGGATTCGAACCCGCAATGTAAGGATCGACTCCTTACTCCGTGACTCTAGAGCAGATGCTCTACCACTCTGCCACGTGGGCGACAAAATTTTACTAGTTCATGGGGATGTAATTTTGTGGGTAACTTGTATGTATTATTAAGATTGATAACTACCATGTTCAACACGTGTGTATCAATGTCCGTACGGATGTAAATCCATGAGTAAGGGTTACCAACAAAATCCACGAACATTGCCCCCTCACAAAAATATGATAATTCCATAGTATTTACCCAAACCAGTTGGAAAACCAAACATCTTGTAGAAGGACAGAGTGACAAAGTCTGGTTGACAAGTCTGTAGATTCAGAGGTGAAGTGCTGATAAAAGCTGCAGCATCTAACACAGTGTACCAGTCCCCAGTAAACTGGTTCTGGAAACCAAATTTCTGGTTCTTTACTTCCTGTATCCAGGATAGTGGATATTTACAGCCTGAGAAGTTAGACTGAGCCGGATAGACAAATAAACAATTCCCTGGGATATATGGACTTTGCTGCATTACAATTTGTGATTTAGAGACATCTTTGTTCTGGAGATCTCCTTCTGCTAAACACAAAATGGCTGATACCCGGTCACACAGGCTTTCCCTCATACCCTGAACTGAAGTGTGATTGTCAAGAAGATAGCAGAAACAACCCTGCTTGGATTTCTTTGTTTGGCATGTGGTATGAGATTGGTCATCTTTCGCTTTATCAATGCTGTTCATTGGTTGAGAAAAATTAAAACATTCTGCAACAGTTTTTAGAGCAGCTGTACAATTTGATGTGAAGATCACTGTATATTCCTCTTGGTTTGTATTAAAGTGTTCTAGAAGCCTGAAAAAAGACACATAATCAAATACTTATATGAAGCCTTATTTTTGCTTTTTTCATGCCCAAATGAAATTATGAAAATAACATTGTAGCTTATCTGACACGTAATGCAAAAAAAAAAAAAAATCAATTAGAAGATAAGAAAACTGCCAATTCAACATGATGCAAAAAATGATTTGCTTGAAAAATTAGCACAAGTGTGCAGTATCTACATGTATACCAAAAGAAAATATAAAGATGGTTAATAGCTCACAATCAAGTAGAGAACTGACTAACTTTCAAAGTTCTCTAGCTTGACCTATGTGAGTGCTTGTATTGTCAAAGGTGATACAAAAATCATTTTTCATGGAAGTAAGGAGAAAGGCAACAAGATTATTACATTGCCAAATTGCTACCAAACTTAAAGATGTATGTTCCTGACTCAAAAAAATAAATACTGTATGTGTACTTCAAAAAGCGGGCTTCATATTTTAGCGGCTTTGGCGCGGACAACAATGCGTTAATTCATGAATACCGTTTAAAATCATTATAAATACAAAATATGATGCAGACGTGTGCAGCGCTAATTCATGATTATGCCAAGCACTCAATACCCAGTGATTGCACTAAATTTTGAATACGCCAATTATGTACACATACAGTAATAGAAAAGGCCTAGTACATGAAGCATGTGTACTTTTAATAGATATTTACCTGAATCTAACTTGATCCACTGCATCAGTTGAGAGTCTGCTGCTCTCACTGCGACTGTGTGGGTTACCATAGAGATTACCTAGTAACTCCTTCTGGTAAGCCTCAATCTGAGTTCTGGAATAAAGAGTGGCCCCAATGTGCTCCACATAAGTACAACCTACAAGAAAAAGTCTTACGTACAGCCTACTAGATACAGATTTATGTACATCCCACATAGAACAGACTTATAAACACCATACCAGGAACAGACAAACAGATTGATGTACATTCTCCAAGGAAATTTACACCATACAAAGAACAAATATACACTAACAAGGAACAGATTTAGGTGCACCATACAAGGAGCAGATTTAGGTACACCCTACAAGGAGCAGATTTAGGTACACCCTACAAGGAACAGATTTAGGTACACCCTTCAAGGAGCAGATTTAGGTACACCATACAAGGAGCAGATTTAGGTATATCCTACAAGGAGCAGATTTAGGTACACTATACAAGGAGCAGATTTAGGTACACCCTACAAGGAGCAGATTTAGGTACACCCTTAAAGGAGCAGATTTAGGTACACCCTACAAGGAACAGATTTAGGTATACCCTACAAGGAGCAGATTTAGGTACACCCTACAAGGAACAGATTTAGGTACACCCTTCAAGGAGCAGATTTAGGTACACCATACAAGGAGCAGATTTAGGTACACTATACAAGGAGCAGATTTAGGTACAACATACAAGGATCTGATTTAGGTATACCCTAAAAGGAGCAGATTTAGGTACAACATACAAGGAGCAGATTTAGGTACAACATACAAGGAGCAGATTTAGGTACACCCTACAAGGAGCAGATTTAGGTACACCCTACAGGAAGCAGATTTAGGTACACCCTACAAGGAGCAGATTTAGATGTCCAGGAGTAAGGAAGATTTTTTGGGGATTGTGTTAATTTTGATGTTCTGGCTATACATTTCTCAGGCCCCTGGGAGTCAAAGACCACAAGATTTAATTTTTTTTGTTCTCATCATCCATATATGCCATATTCAAAAAATGGTTGAAATTGGTTCAGCAATTTCGGGGAAGAAGCTGAAAATGTTCAAAATTTATGACTAAAGAATGATTAAACATTTGAATATCCTTAAAATATTTTTTATTGTCCTGATGCTACAAAGCAGACAGAGAGTGGATCTAACTGTCTGGGTGAATTAAAGACAACCATGCCAGGTTACAATGTCTTAAGGGCTGTAGACAGTCAATAGACATCAGAGCTTTAATTGTCATTGTTCAGTTATTTGGTTAGAGCTACAGAGCTATTACAGATCCCCAACATCATTGTCAACACTGATTACAAAAATATTATATAGGTACCTACATCTGCTTCAGGTTATCTTCCGAAAACAAACAAACAAACAAACAAACAAAAAAAGGTCAACCACAAATAAACAGACCCCCCCCCCCCCCACCCCACAATGGATACTTCCATTAATTAGACAGTCTGTAATTTCATAGATTGTGATTTGCATATAATTTTTGTAATTTGACAGGAACTTTGGCAGAATAAACTTTAAAATGATGTCTGGTTTACCACTTCAGAGCCCATGTCTGCATATTAATGAGATGGCTAACAAAATTAGATTATTTATGGCATCTGAATACCTACGTAATACGCTTCTCTACATCATTTGCTTGATTGACAAAAATAATTTGTTTTAAGGATGTCAAATGCATTTATTTGATCAATGACTCAAAAAAATCTATATACAAATGTATTTCACTTTCATTGTAAATCATTTTGATGCAGGCATATCCAAGATTGAATAAAGTAAAACTAATCTTTTAGGAGACAGCATGGTATTTTCCCATTTTAAACCTGAATTGGTTGTCTGTGAAAAAACGTGTTAGCTGGCCAAATTAAGAAATGGTTCATCTGATGTTCACCTATGAAGAAGAAATCAGGTGAATACAATTTTTATTTCAGATGTAAAGGTTAATTTACTTTTATGACATTTTACTGTCTAGATTAGATGATTAAAAATGTTAACTACAGCTGTATATACATTGTAATCTTGTTCTAATAATAAATTTTAATATTATTTTAGATTACTTATGAATTTCCTGATAAATTTTGAGAATGTTTAAGTTGACTGACTTGCATTTATGTACATGTATATATTTATCCACGAGTCAGCAATATAAATTATGAAAATAACTTACAAAGCAATTAAGTCAAAGCAACTCATGTTCAAAATATGTGTCAGTACTCAAACAAAACATTTTTAATGTTCATCAATGTTAGTGGTCTTAAATTAAAGTTGTATCATATCTTGACCACTATTTCCATGCAGAACAATTAAAACCAGCTTTGCTCTTGTCATTTTATTGAATAACGAGAAAATTTCTTACCAAAGCTCAACAATAATGTACTTATTTATGTAAGATGAATAGGAATGAAAAAAAAAAATATATGTTACAGTGAAACCTGTTTTATCTGACATGCACTGGGACAGATTTTGTGTCAGAATAGACAGAGTGTCAGATAACACAGTGTAAAGAACATGGAAAATAGTAAAGTGGGAATGAAAATAGAGGTCAGAATTCACAGTGACACAGATAGGACAGGTATCTGATTAGACGGTTTTGACTGTACTACTTAGTAGAATGTAGTACTTAAATCAGTTAGCAAAACAGAGCCATATCCTTCAATGAAAATGCAACTGAGTTACTTGTAATGTAATTCAACCATGCAATAATTTGATGAGTTGATAAATCACGGTAATAATTAGAACAACAGACATTTTCATCTATGGTTTGTGATATTACTAGACCTCGTTCAACATTACTGACAGATATAGTTAACAGATAGAACATTCATGTGTCACCTCTTCAGAAATGCAGTTATATCTCTTCTTTTTTTTTGCACCTGCAGGTTTGGTAGATATAGATCAGCAGCTGTGATACAGTACAACTGAAAAGTTAATATGCAAAATTTGTCACTAATTAAAGCATCTATAAAAATTAAAGCTTTTAAAAGACACCCCTCTCCACCTCCTTTTTCTCCTTGTAAAAATTCACAATAAGTCACAGCTTAGCTATTCACTTGATGAGCCAGGACCTGGATCTTGGTAAACCAACATCTAGCTGCAAGCTTATTCACCAAAGATTTTGAAAGTATAGGCACAGGAGAGGTCAGTCCTACAAGAGTAAATATTTCATGTTCAACAAATTCTGGCACAGATACCCAGGCCATATTCAGAAATTTGGTTTAGGCCTTTACAATTTAACAATCAGATTCATGAAAGACTCCATAATGTCACATTTGGATACACCCTTCTAATAACTTTTAGAATCAGTAGGAGATGCGGTCCATTAAAACAAAATAGTTCTTTGAATGCCAGCAGGGAAATTACAAGACAATTTTCCACCTAACTTGGTCGGTGTGATATTTTTCATCAGCGAAAAAAAATGTTCTGTAATCAATACAAAGTAAAAGAGAATACCAACTTGTTGGGGACATTCTAGACATCACACCCTAGACTGGTCTAATTATTGTGGACCTCTAATAAACTCCCATTATCTCTGTGTGAGTGCTAATTCCGGCTTGATTGAAATTGCTGGAGAAGCTCCAGGGCTTCACTGAAGCAAGAATATATAGGAAGAAGTCCAAATAAAACCAGGGGAGGAAGTGCAATACAAAAAATTTATGAGATGAGATGATTGTCTCCTAAACTACTTACAGTTTATTTCTGGACCAGTAAGAAGACATTTTATTGATATTATTGTTCTTTCCTGAAAATCAAGGTTCAGAAATTATGTTCCACATGCATTTGTCAGTTTCAGTGCAATTAAAGTCATAGATCTACAAAAAAACCCTATAGTCACTCCAGGCCCATGTTGCATTTGGACTTTCACATTGAATGTTGACTGGACATGTGGTCAATTTGGTAATTCAATAATCTATCATTTCCAGTGATAGTTGCTTGAGTTTGATGGTTAAGCCTGGGTTAATGCAGAATGGCTTACTCAAAGGGGAGTGATCAACCGTCCCTCATTTTCAATACACCCTACCCCTACTCATGACTGAAACCCTAGGAAATGTGCAATTTTCATCCTATGCACTAATTGTTCTTAGATGTTTTAAACTGAAGCAGATACAGTAAAAACTCGGTTATAGTGAAGTCCTGGGGACCTGTAAATTTACTTCGCTATATCCTTAATATCCATGTAAAAAATTCGTTTAAACATACAGTTAATTCATAATATACATGTTTTCCTTTAAGTATGACTACCGAATATGTTAATATGTTCAGTGAAGTATTAAATACAAAACCCTACTAGGGGTACATGAGATTTCTGATGAATTTAATTTTAAATATAAATACTGAAAACCAACTATTATTCGTGTCATCTTTTATTCATGAATCGTCCGCTACAATTAATTTCCGTGACTGAGGTAACATTCTCTACAAATACAAAGCAAAATAAATGGTTCGCGGCAACCAATTTTCGCGAGTTAAAGTAGATCATGAAACTTGCGGATATTTCTCGCATGTGAATAAAAGTTGGTTTACAGTACTTATGAAAAATAATGTCAGTCAAATAATTTTAAATTCTGAGATTTTAAAAAAATTGTAATAAAAGATGTAAATTTCATTATTCTAAACCTTTACTGCTGGGGACTAAAAATCAGTTCGCTATGATATCCCTAAATTGCTAACTGAAGAATATTACTAGGAGCCCTAATGAAATTACCTGGTACTGTGTCTGTAAATTCACTACGTATATCCATGTTTGTACTAAACAAGTTTTATTGTACAATTTACCATCATGATATACCTGAAATAAAAAATCATCTATTTTCTTTTGATTTATATTAATTTTGGCTTTTAGGACAAGAACTATGTGGAATTAAGAAAATAAGAAATAATGCAAAAAAAAAAAAACAACAACAAAAAACAACAACAAAAAACCAAACCAAAAAAAAAACAAAAAAAAAAACAACTTCAGTCCAAATTAAATTCAAGAAATAAAACTACCTATATTCTCCTTCATCTAGTGTTACCGGTAAATAAATAAATATTTTATATTTGGTAATTTTCTATAATCTGTAAAAAAAAAAAAAATTAATGACTTTCAGAGAAAATGTAATTATACCCCCGCTCCGAAGGA